TAGCCCTGCCTCCATTAACACCAGGGAGACTTAGATCACTGAGTATATGTATGTGATCGACAGCTGGCCACATTGGTGGCTCACTTTTTTTTCCCATATAACTTAACCTCTCGTTCCACAGAACAGAGAAACTGTATGGAAACCCTTGGCATCCAATGCGTGGCCTGATATTCTTTTGCCCACTAAATGCTCTCCGGGAACCTTTTTCATCCTTTTGCTTCTTTTTTTCTCCTCCTCTCTTTACATCACTGTCTCTCGCTCTTCTTCAACAAGTACTGTGGGTTTGTCTCCATCGTAAAGCCCAGAGCCATTCAGGTACTCCTCATCTTTGTTGTACTGCTCTGGTCCAGAAGAAGGCATGGAGTTTTCAGAAATTGAGCCATTTTTTACATAACCTGGCAAATTCCGGTGTCCATTGAGGGTCCCTGGTATAAGTCTCGTATTGAGATGGAGGGCAAGTGCCCCTCTTGTGGCTACATTTGTGATGCTGGTGTGGGAAACCATTGGTCCATAACTGTAGGTTGTGCTCCCACTTCGTGCTTTCCTTTTAAAGTCAAGTGCTAATGTCCACCTGCTCCATGACTTCTTTATTTCTGCTTGGACCTGAGAGACAAGGGGGAAAAAAAGCATGAGTGGGGGGATCGAGGGGCGGAGAGTCATCAGAAAGAGGTAGCATCCACAGACAGAATGGGCAAGGAACTCTCTGGAGTGTGAAGTTGGAAGGAACAGTAAATTCACATTAAATCTGCCCTTTCCAAATGAAATACTTGACATTGGGAAGCTTGAATGCCTGAAAATGTCTAAATGAAAATATAGGTTAACTGAGACTGGGAGACTGAGCAGCACACCCATGAGCGAGTCATCTCAAGGTACCACGAGAATGAAGTGTTTAAGTGGGATGAACCATGGAGGTGCCTGAATCTCTAGAAATTTCCCCTAGAAAGGAGTTAGCAGACTACTTTAGACTGAGTGTCCCACTTTTAGATGGCTAAAGTTAGGATGAGATCAATTCCCCTTACGGTATGGATTTCATCTTGGTTTATGCTGTAGGACTTAAGCAGGATATCTGCAGTTGAACTTCCCCTTAAAGTCCATGAACTTAGGCCAAACCAGCCTTATGCCAGGCCACGAAAGTAGCTCTGTTCTTTCCCGGTGTGCATCCACTGACTGTCTAGTTTCTTAGTTTGCAGCCATAGAGGGAATTAATGGAAACAGGCATTAAACATATCCCTCTGGAAATAGAAAAAAAAGGTCAAAAAAGTCTGGACAATCAAAAGAGCTTGCTGGTTAGGCAGCTACTCTATCAATCCACTTTCTTCCTGCCACAGATCTGAAATTAAGCAGCACTTAAACAGATCTTGTGCTGGGAAAAGAAAAAAAAAACATATTTTTGTCCTCCATAAGCTACTTCCAGTAGCTCATTTATTGACGACATATTGACCTGGATGTCTTACATGACCAAAGCTGAGGGTATGAACTTCCTATGTGGTCTGACAGATATTTCACTGAGGGCAAAACAGGGTTGCATCTCAAGAAGAAGTGTCCTTGCCGATGAGGACAGACTTAGAGAGTTGGGGGTGTTCAGCCTGGAGAAGAGAAGGCTGCGGGCAGAGCTGAGTGCGGCTGGTCAGGGCTTCAAGGGGGCCCAGAGGAAAGGGGGGGACAAGCTTTTTAGTAGGGCCAGCTGGGACAGGACAAGGGGGGATGGCTTTAAACTGAAGCAGGGCAGGTTTAGACTGGATCTAAGGAAGAAATTCTTTACAATGAAGGTAGTAAAACACTGGAATGGGTTGCCCAGAGAGGGGGTGGAGGCCCCATCCCTGGGACCATTCCAGGCCAGGTTGGCCGGGGCTGTGAGCAACCTGATGTGGTTCAAGGTGTCCCTGCTCCTGCGGGGGGGTTGGGCTGGGTGACCTCTGGGAGTCCCTTCCAACCCCAAAAATTCTATGATTCTATGATATCCTGATGTTCATCCACTTCACCATCTGTGTGTGGAACTAACCTAACAAAGGAGGGAAATATTTAAGAAGCTGGTGACTTACCTCTCCATTGCAAAAACAGTATATGATGGCAACAAAAAATCCCTAGAAGGAAGAAGAAACGACATATTAATGTTAATCTGGCTAACATGTGAGTATCTCTTTCCCGATGGTGCTTCCCAGTGTCCCTGTGCTCCTTTGAAATCAATGACATCCATATCGTGCTGTATAAAATACGCGTAAGAAACCTTGTGTGGTTCGGTAGCGTATGAGAGACAGGTGAACACAACCATTTCCCTGCAGACTGTTGACAAAGTAGGTGGACTATATAAACCTTTGGGGTCATGGTTTAGCTAACAGATCTATTTGCATCCCCAGATCTTTTGCAGAAGTTTTTGACCTGCTGACGGGTGCCTGGGGAGGTGGTGTGGGGTCTCCCTCACTGGGGGTGTTTATGTGCATATTGGATAAACATTTCCAGTGTTTTACATGTTGCCGATTCTGCTGCAGGATGGGAGGGGGGAAGATAACCCTGATGGGACTTTTCCAGCTCTGGCTGCAAGTGGAGCAGACCTTGAGTTGGGCAGAACTGGCTGAGTAGGATCAGTAAAGGACTTCAGATGTGAGCAAACCATCCACATCTTTTTGTCAGCCAATGGTTTACCCAGGGCTTGCTGAGGTCACCCACTATTTTATCCCATCTGTACCCAACAGGAATTGTGGAAGCACATGAAAGCAAGCTTGGTGCCCACCTCCCTTACAGTTTCTCTAAACTGTCACCCGGCCAGACCCACTGTCCACCTTTCATCATCCATGCTGGTCAACCATAATGATAGGTAGTAACATGCAAGCCAGAAGTTAATTTCTCAGGGAAGGGTGAGCAGTGGCTACCAAACACTGCTCTGCTTGTGGAGAGCTGCATATTCTTACTGCTCTGTCTTATACAGGACTAGTCCTGTAACTGAACCTGCCTTTTGCCCAAACCTAGGACTGAGGAATCTATTCACAGGACTGAAAGACAACTTGGGACAAGCAAATTGGAAGTTAATGTGAAACAACATGTCTCTGTGGATCTCTACCAGCTTACGTCTAACCTGGATCCAAAGGGATTTATTTTGTGGGGCAAGTTATCTTTCAACAGGGACATTTTTTTTGTTGGACACACTGAGCCTTTATATGTTGTTTTTTGCAAATATAAAACATACTTGATGCTAAAATACTGTCAAATCACCTTGTGAACGAACTCTGGTGTATTGTAAAAACAGCCCTGCTTCCAAAGACAACCTTGCACTCTCATTTCCCTCCTCTCCCCACTGAAATTGTCATCGTTTGCCCCCATAGTTTAAAAGTTACAATACCTGGAAAGAGTTGAACAGCATTTCATAGTGCATTTGAACTTGCCAAAGAATCCCTGACACATCTGTGTATGGCATAGCCATGAAAACAATATAGTGAACGCCAAACAGAGGCATAAGGACGAGGGTAGATTTCAGCAGCTTCCTGCAGCAATAAGGAAAGACAAAGACGCAGAGGAAATTAGTGGATGGAGTCAACCTCCAGGCCAAGCTCGTCCACCTCATACCTTGAATCACAGAATCACAGAATCAGTTAGGGTGGAAAAGACCTTTAAGATCATCAAGCCCAACTGTTCCCCTAACCCTGCCATCCCACCACTAAACCCTGTCCCTAAGCACCTTGTCTGCCCAGCTTTTAAATCCCCCCAGGGATGGGGACTCAACCCCTTCCCTGGGCAGCCCCTTCCTGTGCTTGGCAACCCTTTCAGTGGAGAAATTTTTCCTGATGTCCAAACTAAACCTCCCCTGGTGCAAAGCCATGTGTAATTTTGTACTTGCTCACATGTCCCCTTGGCTTGGATATCTTACATTTACACAGGCACTGTGTCCACCTGCAGTTTCAAACTGTTGCTTCTCTTACGGCATGTGACACAACCTGGTCCACCCCCCAGTATGTCTTGATGTGCTAGTCTAACCCTCTCTACATGCACGTCCCCATGTGGTGCTGCTGTAGGTACTGGAGACAAAAACACTAAGACATCTTTTTCAGCCTCAGACCGTCCTCAGCTTTGGGTCAGGATCATGGGAAGAGGGTGGAAGGTGACTGGAAAGAAATGTGCACTGCTGCTTCTAGCCCTCAGTCTCTGACTGGTACTAAATCCCCTTGTCCCTAAAGGATGGTTCTGTTTCAGATGACACTGACTGGACGCGTGCAATGTACAGTAGCTGACACTGCTTGAGCAGGCAGGGTTGGACTAGATGACCTCCAGAGGTCCTTTTGAACATCAACCATTCTGTGATTCTGTGATTCTGCCTGCTCACTGAGGCAAGACACCAAGGTCCACCCTGGCTTAGTGCCTCCTGTGCAATGGGCAGGGCTGGTGGAGAGGGTGGTGCATCTAAGAGCAGAATTACCCTAGATTCCAAGGATAAGAGGATGGTGCACTATGGGATAAGCAGGAGGTGAACACTCTTAGGAGTTGCTTTGGACTGCAAGATTGCTTGGAAAGCCACTTTTAAAAGAAGCAGCTCTGTCTCAGCATAGGACCTACATTGGGGACTGGGGGGAGGTACAACACAACCCCAATTACTTGGCTGGGCTTGCTCCTGAGAGAACCAGCCTTGCCTGGAAGTGATACTAATTGAAGGATTAAACCTTCTGCCAAGAGTTACAGAAAATCACCAAGTTCAGGCAATTATTGAGAAGGGCAGACATCACTACCAGAAAGACCTGGTACCTCCTCTGTCCAGCAATTGGAAACCACTGAGGGAATGTAACACATTAAAAGGAGGAGGCCCTATCCAAACCATAATTAATAGCAAGCTTCAGCCAGGGAGAAATAAACAAATAGATAAATCAGAGCCCTGACAGGGCAGCAAAGAAAAATGGAGAGGTGTTTTCCTGCCAAATCTCATTACTGCTTCAGATGAAACGTCTTGTGTTTGGAGAGTGAGATGGTAGCAATGAGCTCATGGTTTGCAGCCCAAATCGTTCTGCTCTCCCCCCTCTGCATGTGTCATGCTGGTCAGTCCAGCTCAGGAGATTATGAGAAGCCTCGGGAGCTCTCAAGCAGCTGAGGTGTCTTAGCAATGTGCTTTTTCTGTCCAGTTTTGTCCATGCTACAAATATACTAAATTATCAAGAGAGAAGAGCTGGCAGAACAAAGGAAAACAAAACAAACAAGGAAATGTCAGATTTCCAACAAAGAGTCAGGAATATTTTTTTTTTCACTTCAGCAAAAGCACTGAAACACCCACTGAAGGCCAGATTTAACAAATAGACCAAGTTTTAGAAAACACAGGAGGGAAATAAATAAATTGGTACAAGTTTTAGGGGCTTCAACAGCATAAGCAATGCTTTTATTTTTGCGCTCTTGGTTCAAGGCCAGCACAGTCACTTCCAAACTGGCTGAAGAGACTGAATTCCTCTCTTTAACCTATGAGGCAGGTCCCCCAGGTTGGATTTGAAAGGTTTAGGAGATGTTTAAACTGCTGTTGGTTCATTCTGCATTACCAGGCTTGGAAGACAGCATTCTTCTCACCTTGTTTTAGGTGTCTAGAGTGTAGACACCATGAACTAGTCACCCTGGGCTCCCTCTGTAGTCAAGGGGGTGAAACAAGGACTTTGACATCTCCCATAAAAGTGGAGAGGGTACGTGACTCACCTGTACTGTTGTCTTGAGTCACACCTCCCTGCATTCGTCTCTCGTAGCTTGGTTGCTAGGACTCTGATAATATTGATAAAAAGAATAAAATTTACCTGGAAGAGGTGGGGGAAAAAAACCAACAGAGAAAGGATAACTGTTAAAAAAGATCCAGACGATGACAGCGTTGTTTAGTCACTGCTTTCCCCAAGATGAGTCAAGGGGCTGCGGCAGTGACCTGATCACGCTGTGTATGAAGCCCCTCCTGGAGAGAGCCTGTCCTGTAGAAGGGATAAGCTCCCCAGGAGAGGCCCAGTGTTTGGTGGGATCTGGTCAGCTGTGTTTAACCCGAATGGTTGAGAGAGAGAAGGGAATGGCTTTCTCTGACCAAGTGTGGGCATCTCACATGGAAACACCTACATCTGAGCTACCCGGCCCAGCAGACACCTGATAACCGGGTATGATATCAGCATATAAGGCAGTGCTTACCAGGCATTTTGAGGTATGGATTATAGACAACTCTCACTATTTTTCAGATAATCTTTTTTAAAAACTCCATACAGTGATATGGGCCATTTTCATGGCCTCATAAACCTCTCAAACTTAGTTTGAGGTCCAGGGAGTAGAGCAAAATTAGGTTATATTTGTATCTTGCGGCCCACCCAAGGTTAAGAACCCCTCAGGCTAAGAGAAGCATTAGTAGGCTGCCTTTCCATATTTTCATGTGCAAAAGGAAAGAAGAGGAAGCAAACCACACCATGACAAAGACACAGAGTAGATCTAACTGGAGATGACAGATCAAGAATGCAGAAGGGCAATATAACTGTAAAACTTCTGTTGTATGTCTACTGCTAACTCTCCCTCTAGAGGAGTGTTTAGTGTGGACCAGCTAAGGGCAGTAAGGAAGTAATATCTACTTCCTATGCAGGGAGCCACATCTGCAAACCCATCTTGTGGCCAGCTGCTCAACCAAGCTAATCTAGTCCTACAGGAACATGCTCATGATGACCCATGCAGCAAAAAGTAACAGCAACATCTCATGGCTACACTGCCACTTAACAGAGATGAAAAATGGGGAGATGTTCAAGGGATTCTCAGCTTTTTGGAGCTCTTCAGAGATTGGTTTCACTGGGGCTGGGATTACACCTGCTGCTGTCCCAGACAAACCTTGGGACTCTGGCAAGGCCACCAGCAGAACCATTGTGTAAGCGGCTGCACTGGGCAAATCCATGTTGCTGGGCTAATGCTGAGCCCTATGGAGGCTTGCAGCAGTCATGTGACTTCTCAGATGCCAGTATAGCAGCATTTCAAGGAACCTAATTACCATGCCACACCCAGGCTCATAGTTTGACACGAGAAGGGACCATTGTGGACCTCTAGTTTGTTCTCTTGCAAAACACAGTCCATAAGACCTCCTTGTATTCATTTTTGTTTGAGCTATAGCAGATCTGGGTTTCAGTGTTTCCATGACGGAGATCCTACCACAACCATTGGTAAATCGTTCCAATGGTTAATTAGCCTCACTGTTAAAACAAGTAGTTCCCTGAGCCACTGAACGAGCACGGCCTGGTTTGCTACGGCTTTGTCTTCTGTGGTTGGATTCCTTCTACTTTAACGAGGTGCAAGTTCATTTTGAACAGCTCTCCTCTGTGTTAAAAAGGGGGCAATGTTGTACTACACCCTTTCCCTTGAAGGGGCACGAGTAGAATTTCTCTCCTGTATCTATTTGACTGTTTTCATGAGGTTTGTGGGAATTTAACATCCATGCAACCCCATTCCCTTAGTTACATTTGGTTGGAATTTACTGACTGGCACAAGAGTTACAAGGGAGGGATGGATAGACCGAGAGGCAGAGAAGCACACAGCCTGGGGGCATATAATTCATTTTCATTGGAAACCAATCTAAAAGGAAAAAAAAAAAAAAAAGGGCAGGCTTTGTTTCTCATATGAGTTTTTCTAGCTTCAAAAGCTCAAAAGTGGGATCTCATTCTGCATTTGTCGGCTAAATGGAAGATGTCCAGCCTTATCACAGTCAGGAGGGAAACTCCTCTGACTTCCTGAAACATATGCTAAGTTTTAAAAGAAATCCAGACAACTGAATAACATCAAAGCTAGCAGCAGAGTGGAGGGATTTTAAGCCCCTCAGCCTCCAAATACTCTGCAAGTACATCCAGAAAATGCATAACTTAGTCCAGCAACATATGACCAGCCAGTGTGGGAATTGAAAAGGCAGCCAAGTGAACAATATGAACCCACAGAAATTAAACAGAAACAACCCACAGAATATTTTTGCATGATAAATAGCTGCATTTGCAAATAGCCAGGGTACAAGCACAGCAGAGCCTCATGGAGAAACATTATTTTTACAAGGACTAGCCTCAATTGAGCTCTTTCTCCTCTGCTAATCGGGCTTTAAATTAAATGCAATGGGGTTGCTGGCATTCATCTGGTTGAACTATCTGAACTTTCTTCTCCATCCTACTATTTCATTTCCAATGACCGCGATGTGGGCTTGGTGATTCGTTTCTTCCAAGGTGCAGAGCTAATTGCTAGAGCCAGGTGGAGAATTTCCACCGAAAGGAAATTCTGATGAAGAAAAAAGCCCCCCAAGTCCAAAGCAGCTCACCTAATTGCACATCTGACCATATTCAGCTCAGAAACTTTCCTGCTGTTTATATGCAGATGGTCTGATTTTCTTCTCACCCACACTGATCATCTTCCAAGGCCTCCTGATTTGTGAGTCAGAAGGAAATATATAGAGCTTGACGCAAAAGCCTCTGAAGACTATAGAGAGATTCTTACTGACTGCACTCAGCTACTCGTGGATGAATGTAAAGAGGGACTAGGATGTGTGCGAGTGGACGAGCTCTTCTGCATGCGCTCATCTAACCGCCAGAAGATGGAGTAATGGAGAACCATGGAGAAAGACAGAGGCAGGAAAGAGGATAATTCATGAAAACTGTGAAAGCAGGTTCTCTAGCTAATTAAGACCCTGCTCAAGCAAACACATAACTACCCACTGAATTCCCCTTGTGCGGATAATCACATCTTACAATGACCTCTCCAGCTTGTGAGAGCTCAGTCTTGTGTCTGGATAATGTCACTTAAATCCTTTCTGTCCCCTCTGGCTCCTGGGTGGGGTCTGAAGTAACCCTCCATCAGTTATTAACAACATGTCTGATCGTAGCTGGGACGGTTTAACTTTCATCCCTGCCTTTGAGGTATCCCAAGCTTTTATCAGTTCAGAAAGATGAATCTGAAACAATCTGATGACACTGAAGCACACTGGGGGAAAAGGTCTGGTTCAGCTACGGAACCCAAATTCTGGTTCTTCCCACTGGAGGTGCCTGGTGAGGACATGTGATGACCCCTGAGGGTTTCCAGTATCACATGAGCTTGAAATATTGGCTTGAATGTTTGTTTCGTTAATGATTTTAGGGTCTTACCCCTGTGTAATTTTTCTCTCCTAAGCAAAACTTGAAGTTGCTCATAAACCCCTTTGATGTATGCAGCTATCAAACTTACAAGCCGGTCAAATATAAGGTCCTTAAACTGGCTGTACAGAGACCCCACCCTATTAAGGCAGGAGCCATGTTAACAAGGCGATTAGAGTAGAGCAGCCTGGCTCAACTCTTCCCACTGAGCCGGCATTGACCAAAGGTGCTGCCTCCCACCCCTTGCAATCAGCAAGTACTCACCACGATAGCTGCCAGGATGGGCACCTGAATAATCCATTTTAAATTGCCAGCACTCAAGTCCCAACACCTGAGAAGAGAGTGATATCCCATCAGGAAATCATTGGTTACAAAGAGCGACAGACGCAAGAGCCTTGCTGGGTAAATCCACCCTGGAAGAATGGGTTCCTCCAGAGCCTGGTGCGGTGGGAGGACCTAGCTCTAAGCCTGCCTTTGGTCAGCGTGGCTCTGAAATAGCCCTTCTCCTGCTGTTATACCATTCAAAACTGAAACCACTACTAAATGCATTTAAAGTTATGCTCTCCGGATGGTGGAACAGCTCTTTCCACAGTCATCAAGACTTGTCCCTTCTGGGCAGGAACCCATCCTTTTCCACTTCTTCTTCACCTCCTTACCAGAAAAAAAAAAACGACGCTAAGAGTAATCCAGCTTTCATTAGAACAAGAGAGACTGAAACGGCCTAATATTACCCCTTGGAATAGACCTGCATAACTTTGCATGGGGACAGGTCCTGTCTGAAGACATGGTGGTGGGGACAATACTGTGGTCCTATATTCAGTTCCTCTTGCAGTGAGACCTAGCAAAAGTCTTTATCTCCTTTTCACCTTCAGCCCTTATCCAAGTGAGGACTGGAAGAGCAAACTGTTGGTGGCGTGGATGTTGGGCTACGGTCCTCCCGTCTGCCAAGAAGGGGCTGAACACTATTTCCTCCCAGGCATTTCCAGCAGCCATTGAATAAGGTCACTCAGTGTTAATTACTCTGTTTGAATTCTCTCCAACCACGGAGAGAGGAGTGCCACAGGCTTTTCTTTATCTGAGCCAGACAGCCCCCACATGGCAGCTGCAGTTTTCATTTCACAGGCCAAATGCTGCCCAGGCAGCTATTCAAGGAAAGCGAGAGGCAGGGGCAGAGAAACCACCAGTGCTGACTGAAAGGCTCAACGAGGATGAGTCTGTGCCAATGCAGATGCGTCACGCTCCAGTAGCTACTCCGTCTTTCCAAGCCTGGAGCTGAAATCCCGTTTGGAAAGCAGTCTCCTCCCAGGCAAAGCTATTTGAAAATTTGTCTGGGGACCCCCCCACTTTTGCTGGCAGATTGTGGGCAGATGAAACCCGTTGTGTGGTCAAGCCTGTGCATTATTGGGGGAAAATGTGATTGCTTGGGGGGTTTGAAGATTGGATGCTATGGATCCATCGTCAGCATAAAAATGTGAGGCTATGAGGGTGCATGTGTAGGACCAAAGAAGCAACTGATCCAGTGTCTTGTTTCTGACAGTAGCCAGAAGCTGATACTTAACGTGGAACAGGCAAGCAGGTAGTGATATTCTTCTAGAATATTCTTCCAACAACATGCAGTTCAAGATGGCTTCCTGAGCCAGAACATTACTGAGTATTTAATACTGCTGGAGGAATTTATCTTCCATGAATTCGTACAAATGCTTTTTAAACCTAAGGACATGCTGGCATCCACACCTCTCGCAGTGAGAGGCTACAGCTTCACCACCTCATCAGCCTCCTTTGACCACGCTGAACGTGCTATCTCCCAACTTTATTCCCATTCATTCAGGATCTTAAAGATCCTGTCCCTGCCCAGCTCTGAGCAGTCCCCTTCAGCCCCAGGGATAACAGCTGCAGGTGTTCACATTTATCAAACCCTGTAAAGTGAAAGGAAAGCTAGGGAAGCTGCACTCACCTTATCCCTCCCTGCCACCCTCCCCCCCGCAAATAAGAAAAAAAAAAAAAAAGTCTGCTAACTTCATAGTAGAAATCACTTCTGGCTTTTCCTGGTTCCTTTTCTCCTTTTGATTCACCCACAAAGTCCCCATTGCCAAAAGCCCCACAAAAGCATCACACGTAAAAGGGAGAAAAGCAAATCCGATGAGACTTACTCTGTGTCAGCTAGAGTGGCTCTCACGCTGGCCCACGCTGTAACAAATACAGCAGGGAGTCCTGCAAAAAAACACAGGTCAAACGGGGTGAGTAGGGGGCACTTCCAACCCAAAACATTCTATGATTCTATGACTGGAGGGCTCTGTTACTATAAGCCCAGGTGGAGTGGGCTAGAGGAAGGTGGAAGAAGCATTTTTTAAATATTCAAGCATACTTTAGACTAGGAAAGCCTGATGTTGGTCTTGCATCTCTTCTCTAGTCCAAATGGTAAAGCAAGCAGTGGCAGGGAGCATTTTCTGGAAGATGAATGTTATGGCCTGGACATGTCCAACCTACTAAATTCTCCTAGTTTCCAAAACTGAGAAGCTTGCTTTCCTAAGTTGCTGGCCAGGAGTGTTCCAGGCTTAAGCTACCTCCTGGTTTGTGCTTGGGAGGTGCTTAGGTCTGGGCCTGAGATGGGTCATGGCTTGGCAGGATAAATTGTCAAGTTCCCGTGCCTGTCCTCTAGCACTACTTTAGAGACACATAGCCTGTAGTGCTTGAACCTGGGTGATGATACCTGCTCCAGCCAACTGATTTGGTTTGAAGCAGAGAAGGGTTTCCTGCACCACACCTTTCCCAAGACATTTGTTCCCTTCCCCTGATGTCAAGGAAAGACGGATCTAGAGTCAGGCTCGGACCATATCTCCAAGCACGGGGCTTTATGGATTAGTAGCTCTTTAAGTGTGAATGACTCGTTGCACGAAGCAGATAAATGCTAGAATGTAGGGTAACCTTGCAAAATACTCTAACCAAAGGTTCCCTCCCTAATGAAGCATCCTCATTTCAGCACAGTTATGCTGGGCATCCCTTTTTCCCTGTGAAAAGTGAAAGAATCACCAATATCCAAATGCAATCTTCTATTTATTTTTTTAGGGTCTAGTTCTGCTTTATTTGTACAACTGAGTCCCCTACTGGCTTCCCTTAAAAGGCAGGATCAAATCCACAGTAGCTTCCACAAATTCAAGAAGAATAGCCCCTTTCAGGTGAAAAAAAAAAAAATTAAAAAATAAATAAAGGTGACATTTATCACCGATGACTGTAAATATGCTGTTCACAATCTAAGCTTATTGGGGCCCGGCATGCATAAGCACACGCTTAACTTTCAGCATGCACTTAAGTCTCATTAGAGTGCTTAAAGGCTTTCCTGACCACGGACGCTTTCCTGAGCTGGGGTGTGGAGCAGGGACGCCTGTCTCATATACACATGGACAACGGGGCCGTTATCGTGGTTGGAACCTTTAAATGCCATGGTAATATAAGAAAGCATAAATAATTAAACACAGAGCCTCACTCAGGACCGGTGCCGCAGCGCTGCCTACAAAGATACATTTATAAGGAATGCACCCTGCTTTACAATCCCCTGCGATGGTTGGCATTGGAAAGAAAATACTTAACCTATTGCACCGGGAACCTGTGAGCGCGTTGAAGCTGAGGGCTTGGGGAAGGTGATGATTTATTGTAACAAGCACCGTCTATTTCCTCCTCACCGTTAATCGCCTATCTATGAAAAATACATCGCATGCTCCGACCTACTGGCCGAGCTATCAAAGGCTTAAAGGCATATAACTTTGCTGATATCACCGGTGATATTCCAGTTTACATCAGCCAAGAAACTGGCCCTGTTGAGGGGCTGACATGCCTGCTGCCTGCCTGCGAGGCGGGGGATGTTCACCCGCTGTTGTGAAGCTCCAGGTTTGAAAGACAGATGGTTTCAGAGGTTTAGATTTGACCCGTACTGGTTCCCCTCTAGCCTGTCCTGCATTTCAGAAGAGACACTGTTCCCGTTCATGCTAATCCTGTGCTGTGTCCAAGGTTTCTAGCAACAATAAAATATACAGGAGAAAATAATTATACCTAAAAATTCCCTGTGTATGGATTTATTGTGCCCTGTGCACTGCTGCCTCACGCCGTTCAGGCGAGCTTAGGAAAAGGATCTTTGACATTTTCTGCAAAACACACAAAGCAAATTCCTGGCACCAGTTTTATTGCTACATTTGTCCTTCTGCATCTGCTACATCATTCTGGGTTTTTTTTTTTTTGCAATGTGAACAATTGTAAATGTTCTTAAATTTTCAAAGTCATATGAATCCTCCCCCTCCCTTTCCTCTGCCCCATTTTTAGATTCTCTCTATATCAATGGAGCATGGAGCGTTTGGGCCATCAGGTAATTTCTAGAGTGCAACCTTTTCCTCCCACTTTGGTAAGCTAGTCTTTCAGCCTGGAGAGTCAGAAGGCTCCAGCATCTCTTTTCCTTTCAGAGGGTGACTTTTTGGTGGCTCCACTTGAAAGTCCTGGTCTGTGATGTCCCAAGACTGATAATCCCCTCTGCTGAGCACTCACGGTGCCCATTGATGGGAGAGCCACCAACCAGAAAATCAGGTCTGATGTCCTCAAAGTTAGACATCTAAAGGTATCCACAAACAGCAAGATACACAAGAGGATGCAGCTCTGAGAGCAGGAAAGTTGCGTGTGATTAGATGTGTCATAGAATCATAGAAATGTTTGGGTTGCAAGGGACCTTAAAGATCACCTAGTTCCAACCCCCCTGCCGCAGGCAGGGACACCTTCCACTAGACCAGGCTGCTCAAAGTCACGTCTAACCTGAAGACTTTCAGGGAGGGGACATCCACAACTTCTCTGGGGAACCTGTTCCAGTGCCTCACCACCCTCACAGTGAAGTATTTCTTCCTAATACCTAATCTAAATCTACCCTCTTCCAGTTTAAAATTGTTATGCCTCATCCTATCACTACAGTCCCTGATAGAGCCCCTCACCGTCTTTCCTGTAGGCCCCCTTTAAGTACTGGAAGGTTGCTACAGGGTCTCCCCAGAGCCTTCTCTTCTCCAGGCTGAACAACCCCAACTCTCTCAGCCTTTCCTCACAGCAGAGGTGCTCCAGCCCCTGATCATCTTCATGGTCCTCCTCTGAACCTGCTCGAGCAGGTCCATCTTTTTCCGGTATTTGGCCAACCCACCAAGGAGAGGAAAGCAAGTTTCCCAAACAGCCTGTAATCTCCTGGGTGGCTGTGAGCCCAGATGGAAGCGTGGATGGATGCATGCACGTCCTCCCCCTTGCACGTATGTACCCCACGTGCACGACCGGTGTGAAGCAGGATGAACCCCACCGGGTGGCGATGCCGTGAGTGACTTCTACAGAATCCACATTGTATGCGCTGTGCATTTCCAGTCAATACACACAGTGTGTACAATGCAGGTGCTATAAAGTCAGGTATCTCCCCATCAGCTGGAAAAAGTGCAAACCTCAAGTTGGGCAAAATCTGGTGGCCACCCCAACCCCCTTTCTCTCCTCTGTCGCTTTTCTTGTGTACGTGTCTCCTAGCAGTTGGAAAAAGGGCTTTCATGCATGTGTCAAAGCTGTGAGTAAGAGAGGCGGTTGCAAAGCGACGGCTAAGAGAAGAAAGCTTATGAATAAAGACCTTATGTAGTTCTGCAGAAACCTGGTCTCAGTTCCCTGCTATTTGAAAACCTCTCTGAGGAACAATGAGTGTGTTTTTTCAGTCCCTCTGTGTCACAGTTTCCTAATATTAAATAGGGCTAATAATGACCTCTTATGCCTCTTGTCCTGTTAGGTACGAATACTTTCAGGCAAGGATGATTTCTGCTTAGATAAACACACAGGGCTCACCAACATGAGGTTTTGGACCTGGGCACCTTTAACAGTAACACATCGATCTATTTGTCTTTTCCAGGTCTCCCTGCAATCCTCATTTGCACCGTAGCTGAAAGCCAGCGCAGCCCAGCCAGTGGGGGTGGGAGGGAAATAACATGGTGTGAAGGAAAAATGCCAGCGGAATCGGCTTGGGCTTTCTAGCTATTGGTCATGCTTCTTTAGACTTCCTTCATAAAACAGCTGCAGGGAACTTGAAGTCTGCTGGGGAATTTATTGTTGCCCATAATATCATTATTTATTTATTTTTGTTGGGTGCTGGCAAGGAACAAGTTCCTTTCTGTCATCAGTGTCTCCCTTGCAAGAAGGGCGCTGTGGACTTCCATGGAGCTGAGCTCCCTTGTGCCAGTGAGGATGTGGAATGAAAAGACTCGACAGAAATCTTTGGGTCTGACATCAAAGAGCAACCATATGTTCTGGTTTCCTCAGTAGTCTGGAAATAAGATGTTGTAGGGTGATTTTTGCTCCCCGCCCCCACCTTGGAAATTTCCAGGCAGGATAAATGCACCGCTGTTTATTGTTACACAAGCAAGAAAAAAAAAAAAAAAAGCCCAGCTTTTGGGGCAAAGTTGTCTTTTCTGTACCTACGTGGAATGTCGTAATTATTTATCGCTGATTCCCTGTCATTCATCGCTGTGGTATGGGCAGGATCCAGTGCCCACTGCAGGGAACTGGAGTTTTTCCACTGACTCCAGTGGGTCTTGGATTGGGTTGCCCCTTTCAGTGCCCAAAAGCTATCAAAACAATACGTCTGCGCGGGGGTGTGTGTGTACATTATCATGCTAATCAAAACAATGCAAAAACAAATGCAACTGGAGGGATCCTATGTTCTCATTCCAGAGGAATTTAAATTGAGCAGCCTCAAACTTTTGGAAGCACATCGATGATTGGTGTTGTGACAGGTGTGACTTCAGCTTTGTGGTTGCTCTGATAAAATGATTATACTCTGGCAGTGGTTGGAAGAATTAATGAGAGGAACCCATGCCTGTTAGACTGTTTTCCTTTGGCTGCAGTACGAGCAGCATCAAGTTGGTTTTTCTTGTTCAACATATGGCATTATTTTTCAGCTGCTTCCTTCTCTTCCAGAATTTGCTCTGGGGAATGGCTTCTTTAAGTCTGCTCTGTACAGTTTAGTGCCATTTTCTGAGAAGCAAATTTTTGCATAGCTTGAAGGTTTGGAAGAGGGCAGGGGTTTAGGTTTGGTTGGTTGGTTTGGGGGTTTGTCCATTCGCTTTAAAAAAGAGGTGACATCTGAAGTCCTCTCTGTCTCACAGTGGCCGAGGTAAGAAATACCCTGCCCCCAAAGTATCTCTCTTTATTTATTTATTTCCCCCCATACCTACCAGCTGGCTGGGACAAGACTTTGCCTGAGAGATGGATGCCCACTTTGGGACTCATATTTACACCTCCTATCTTTATCGCATGGCAGCACCAGCAGTTTCTGACCTATGCACCAGCTGAACGTGAGGTCAGCAAGGAGCTCGTGGTCCCCTTCTCCCCCGAATCACACCTGGGAAGGTGGCAGGCTGGAGAGAGTCCTGGGTTACTGAATCCCTTGCTTGCTCTCACAAAGCAAAAACCTGCAATCCTCTATAAAGCCATTTCTGCACTTTCTGGCTTGCTCAGAGCTCCACGGTTCAAGACAGACGTTTTCTGCCAGAAGAAACCATGTGCTGGGATGGGGATGGTGTGGTGCGGACATTAATCTTGCCCTAAAATGCAGTCAGGATGTGGCCAGGTGCATTTTAGACCTGGAAACTGGTAACCGTAGACACTTCTGAACAGCTTTGTCCTGCTGTAAGCTCCTTTGTAGACCTACACCCCATTATTCTTAGTTATGTCCTCGAGGATCATCTAATATGTTTCCTGTTCTCCCTTACAGGCCACACGCTTCAGACAACTCTGGGCAGTGGTTTTATTGTCCTCAGACTACCAGCACCTCGTAACTCCTTGCAAGCCAAACGTAATGCCAGAAGTGAACAGAAAACACGTTCTTGTCTGAAATGTGTACGCCCATGACGCCTTCCACTAATGAGCGCCCTCCCTGCACCCGTATCCCGCCCCTTTCTCCTTACTCTGGGAAGGAGTAAGATGCCCAAGTTAATAGAAAAGTTAAAAAAAAAAGGGTTCCCCACAAATTTCAGGTTTCTACTGGTGCTCCAACACTCATGAAGCTTCAGAAGCTTTTTAAAGCAACTGAGATCTGAGGTAGGAGATCAGAAGTTAGGTTTATCGTTGGGAGCAGATGCTCACAGCCTCACGCAACTTTCTGCCCCTCCAGCCCAACGCCTGTTTCTCAGCAGGAGGCACTTGGCAGAGATGGGGATAACTCAGAGGGTGCACTAAAATCAGCGGTCACATGCACACATCCGCTGCCCTGGAAGGATGGCAAGATGTGCTGTCTCTCCGAACCTGGGCTGACCCTTCCTGAGATCCTGCAAGCGCCACAGTGTAAATACCACAATTTAGAAATGATAAATACTTCACAAGAGAGCTAACCTGTCCTTGCAAGAGTCACTGTGTCTCTGATGCTTGCCCTGCCTCTGCCTCCCATTTTTATGTATATGCACTATTTGCTTCCAGGACTACCTTCAACAGGCTGCTTCTAGGTCAGCTGTGAGGAGCAGCCATGACTTACCCCAGCCAAATAATGTGAATCCCCAAAGATATTTCTTCTCTGAGAAAAATGCCATGAAGATGAGGCTGTGGAGATAGAGCCCTTCCACCAGAATCCAGTAGTAATTGGTTGCCAGGAAGTAGAGGAAGAAGGTAACCGCTACTTTACAGCCCACCTGCAATGACCACAGAAAGACAAGGTTATGTGAGGAACATGGTGTGCATTCTTGTTCTACATAAAGCCATAATTTACCAGGATAGGGTGGAAAACAAGATGGAGGAAGGAAAAAAATAAATCAGAAAATTCAGTTGCGGTGCTTTTACAAGGGGGAAAAATCAGCGCAAGAACAGAAGAAATGAACAACTGAGAAGAAAACTTCCCCTCAGCCAGACATCGTGTCTCTGATAGCAGGTGAGTTGGGGGGTGTAGGAGGGCAGGGCACATGTGGAGAGATGCTGACCTGATCCTACTCTCTCCCAACCTCATTGATGAGGGGTTCACACACTTTCTAGGACAGCTGTCTTTCATCTTTTCCCTGTGATTCTTGTCCAGGTTAGAGGACAAAGGACTGTGGCCCAGTCACCTCGGTCTGGGTGACCTGGTGCAAGTCATATCACTTGGAAGTACGACTCCCTCCTCGGCTTGTGGAGAGATACAGGCACCGTGCTGAGGGACAGTCATCCCATCCTGTCATGGATGTCCAAGAGAGGGTCCTCCAGGGCTGTCTGTCTTTCCTCAATGAGCGTGAAGACACCCTAGATGGCTCCTGTAGGCTTTGGTGGCTGGTCCTCCAAGAGCAAACTGAAGATGGAAGAAGATTTCACCCACAATGTCAAGGTGTTTTCTGAATGGACCTGAGCTGCAAGGTGGGAGACCTGGTAGAGACTTTCCAGGACACACTGATTTTTAAATGGGTGCATTAGCTGAACTCTCACTCCATGCTGGCCTGCAATCCTTTGCTTTCTGGAGAGGAAAACCTTGATTGCGACTCAATGCTCCCCTGTCCTTCTGGCAGACTGGGGCAAAGCTGTCCTTGTTCCAACATTTCTCAACCCTCGTAGAGAATGGCCACAAAGTAAGGGTGCCACATGGGCTTAACTGGTACAAAGGGACACATGATGCCATCTCTTGTCAATGTGGAGATGCTAGGACTCTGGATAGTCCAGTTTCACAGGAAACTTCTGACTACCAAAGACTTCCCACAGCAGCAGCACACCTCCATACTGCCCCTTACTTTGAAAGGAACACAGGCGACTTGCAGAAAACGTCAATAATAAGAACCTTGTAAATAAAAAGAGAATTTTTCATTCTGGCCCAGCTCTTACGCTAATCCTTTGCCAATCAAAATGAATATGCACATATTATATCCATATATATGCATACATTGACACCCGTTTTCTTTTACAGACAAAGTGATTTAAAATAGAAGGAAGATCAATTAAAAAAATCCTCATCCAGGTTCAATAATAATTTTTATATTTACCAAAAAATCACCATCTACCCCCACACGGGGAGCATCAGGCAATAACCAAAAAGCTCCCATTTCACTTGGAAACAAAAGAAACACGTTAATTGTCGCCTTCATCACTTGTTTGCCTTTTAATTGGGCAGAATAAGAAATGCCATTAAATTGCTAGTATTCAAAGAATGCAATGTATTATCCCAATTGTTCCTCAGAATGGATCCAGCCCAAGGAGCAACAGAAAACAATGCAGTAACCCCTTCTGTGTTCTTTCCCAAAGGGGAGTGTTCTGAAGTGTGCTGAGCTCTCCAGCCGGAGACTCGCCGAATCAATGAAATGGATCTCTGAAAGGGGAAGGAAACACGGTAACAAATTTCCATTTGGGGGTAAATTTCCATTTGGGGGGACACTTCGTATATGTTGATTTTATGCCAAGGGGTTGGTGGCCAGGTCCCTGGTAGTAGCACAAGCTGTGGGAAGCCGGGTGAATACACAGGCAGAAAGTTTGTTGCCACATTGCGAGAGCCCCTCCACTAGGATGCTCGAGCTAGCTCAGATTTTTTGTGTGCAGTGAAGGTAACCCTTGATCTTGGATACTAAAATCTACCTCGTCTGTCTCTGCAGCATCCAACAACTCACGGATAATGAGCTATCATACCTAGGATCCACCATGGGAAAGCTGTGATGAGACCAATGACAAGGACAGCAGAGAGCTTCAGGGAGTTGGGGACAGCTTTGAAACCTGAGGATGGGCTTCATCTCCCCCAAGCATGGAGACAATGCAGATGTCTCCATCTGAGCTTTCTGTATGGTGACAAGAAACATGTACTTCTGGAGACAGGTCCACCTGACCTCACTTCAAGTTGTATTTTAGGTTGTGGTGTATCATACCCTTGACCATACTGACTCAACTGACCATAGATGGAATCCGAGGTGACTAGATAGAATGAAGGTGTCTCCCTTGCAGACATCTGTTTTTTGCAGATGAACCCTACCCTTTCTTATGATAGCTCATAATCCCTCCACTGTCCCTTCCAAAATGTCTTTTTTTTCAGAGATGGGAGTGATAAATCACAACAGGAGCAATCAGCTATGGTTTGTTGCAAAATTACAGTGAGGTGAGATGTCTACTGCTGGCCTTCTTCCTCACAAGCTACCTCTGCTCTGGCACTTGGAGCCTCCCAAGTCATGTTGAACCACAGCTTTGCAACATCTGGGCTGTCAGTCGGATGGGGCAGATGTTACAGCACAAGTGATGCCTCCATGGGTCATACAGAGGGAAGCTCCGGGTGGAAAATCAGCACATTGTGGTGGGAAAAGTACACGCTGTGAAATGCAAGCACCGATGGGGGATAGCCGGGGGAGTTTCCAGAGCCATACACTTTAGGAGGCATCAGGAGAGCTGTTTAAAAAAGTAGCTGGAGACAGGAACCAAAACCTCAACCCTGGCTTTACCTTTGAATGCCACAGGGAACAGCTCGTCCTTAGCTCTGGGGCTGGGCAGTCCCTCTGGGCCAGTGGGTTGAGAGGGATTGGGAAGGGATGGGGAGAGGCCGCAGAAGGTGAAGAAAGGTGGTGTCCCTCAGTAGGGTGGAAAATCCGCCTGAAAGAGGCGTTGAACAGAGAGGACAGAGGCATGAAGCCCGGAGGCGCTGGCTGCTCTGGCGATACTCACAAACTGTGATTTATCCGCTGGAGGTGCTTCAGTAATGGATTTCAAGTCTTCCTCCGAGATCCTTTCCATCTCCTCCAAAGCTGACCCGGAGTACAAGACTGCGTCCTTCACGAAGATGCTCACGGCTCTCAGCATGAAGGAGACAAACAGGTGCATGTGGATGTAGTTTCTAGTGCAGTGCAAACGCCTGGAGGAGGAGACAGAGAAGGATTGGAGTAGTTTAGCCCATCTGTTGGACAGACCCAGGGTCACCGCTGCTTCTGAAGACCCCCACCCTGGGGAAGCACTGCTAGCACCACTGCGGCCCCGCGCTCGCGGTTCACCCATGGGGTTGGTAAGTGAACTAATACCTACTCCAAGGGTTTGGTTGCCACACACTGCTGCTGACTTTCCATTAGGACACCAACGCTGCGTCTATACTCATGAAGCCCCTTCGTTTCTGACTGGGAAATCTTGGGAAGAGCTAGGGATGCATTTTGCCTGTACTGGGCATGGGTTGTGGGCAGTGAGTCTATGGCTGGAGGATGGCGCGTGTGTGTGCAGTGCACGAGGAGGCAATACGCGGTCCGTGCTCTGTGTGTGCAAATTTGGAGTGCAGTGCGCATGCAGCGTGTGTGTGGTACCCGTGTGATGAGTTTGCACGTGCAGGACACTGCGCATGCCGCGCACGGGCATCTGGAGGTGCATCCAGTACAAAGCATACACGGTGTGCACATTGAAATATGGGCTGAATGCAGTTGGTGCGTGGCCAATGTGCGTGGTGTGTGCCACGAGCATGAATCCAGTGTGCAGTGTACGTTCAGGGAACGTATATCTGCTGTGCAGTGTGCAGTGTGCATTCAGGGAACGTACATCCAGTGAGCAGTATACGTTCAGAGAATGAATATCATAGAATCATAGAATCATAGAATCATAGAATCATAGAATCATAGAATCATAGAATCATAGAATCATAGAATCATAGAATCATAGAATCATAGAATCATAGAATCATAGAATCATAGAATCATAGAATCATAGAATCATAGAATCATAGAATCATAGAATCATAGAATCATAGAATCATAGAATGTTTTGGGTTGGAAGGGACCCCTAGAGGTCATCTAGTCCAACCCCCCCGCAGGAGCAGGGACACCGCTAACTAGATCAGGTTGCTCA